TACGCAGCCATTTCTGAAGTCTCTCCGCACGGCGTTCCAACTGCTCTGGAGAGGATATCGGGCCCCTGGCTCGATACCGTCCAATAACTTCGTCAAATCTCCCAGCAGGTATTGGCCGCCCTTCTAGGGCGTTCCACCAAGTTGGGTGAACCAGGTTCTCGTGCCCCCCGAGCTTTGACCTCCCACACTAGGGGCGTGTGATCGCTAGGGATCGCCCACCCCTCCGCGGTTCTAGCTCCTTTCGTGCAGTCGCCCACCACCGCATCCCCTGCGAAGACCGCATCTATGTATGACGACCACCTGGAGTTCGAAAATGTGGGTTGCCCCTGGTTCTCGTTCACACAAGTGAGCATCTCACGGATGCACCAGTCTTCGACCTCCTCTCCTCTCCGCCACAGATGCGACCCGCCGGTGCCTGACGTAGAGTGCCACAGGTTTGAGTAGCTGTTCATATCGCCGCCTATGTAGGCTCGGCTAGTCGCATTTATACGGTCCAGCATTACTGCTGGTGACACCCCCGAGCTGACGTAGGTCGAGCAGACTTCCAGCTGTTGTCCAGACGGTGTCCGTATCTCTATCCAGATGCAATCCCTACCAGTAGTTTTAGCCGTGTGTGTGCAGTCCTGCTTTAGAAGAATGGCAACCCTCGGGTATGGGTCACACTGAGAAGGCACTATCACCCTGAACCCGCTTGCGACCCTGGGTAGCCTTCCAGGGGGCTCTTGCACTAGGCATGCAAGGACGTCAGATTTATCGGCTTCCCTTGCCAAAGCAGATAATGCTTCCGGCGATCTCATGACGTTGGCCGAAGCTAGTGTGAAGATCGTCGTGCTGCTACTACCGCTACTACTACTGCTGCTCCTATTAACGTAATCCCTACTTGCTATCATCTCACTACCTGCACCATCACCTTGGGCGACTCCCGCGACCGCCTGCACGCTACTGAGCATGTTCGCGGCCTACGACACCACCTCGAGTTTGTGCCCCCGGCTCCCTCACGACGCCGTTGACTGCGTCGCAGAGCTGGTATTGCACCGCCCCATGCCCCACCTTCTTACAGTAAACACACCGCCTTGTTTTATCCTGCAGCCCCCTGGGACATTCGCTGATGGCATGCGAGCTGTCCCCACACCAGGTACAGGCAGGCTCTTTCGTGCATTCCTCCGACGGCCCATGCCGTTGGCCGCAGGAGTAGCACACCCTGCAGAAATAGTGTCTCTTCACGACAGCGCGGGCATCCCCTATGAAAACCTCTCCAGTACCGCGTGTACACTCCAAGAATCTAGCACATGTCGCCTCGTCTGCGCGAATGACGACTGAGCCCCAACCTTCTTGCTTTCCCGACCTCCTCACGACCTCGTAGTCTCCTCTGAAGCCGTTGCGCAAGCTCAGTTCCTTGCGGAAGGTGTCCTCATTTATGGGACATGGGACACCTGTAAATCTGAGCTCGGCCTTCTTACCTGGGAGCGGCGTCACTAGCCATGTATCTGAGGCCTTACCCATGTCCAGGATGGACTTGAAGGTGGCATTGTCATTGCATTCTAACGCCAGCCCAAAGGTAACAGGCCAGATACCCCTGATCCTCCATTTCATACCTTCTTCAGTAGCTAATAGCCTCCTAAAGTCGGTGGCCAACTCCTCCTTCACCTGCGCTTCCAGGTTCGGCCATCTCCCGACTGGGCTATCTCCAACCAGTCCCTTGCGACTCAGGACGAGTCTCAGGCTGGACTTACGCCCTTTTTCCGCGGGGGCTGGGGGCAACCTGCTCGGTGCTGCCCTGCCTCTCCTCCCGGGCCGGGAGTCCCGGCGCCTCCGGTTTGCAGGTTTGGATTTGCGCGCACTGATCCACTCCTGTTACGCCTTCGACTCCTGACCTCCGTCCACGCAGGACTGCCATCCGCGGCGCTACCTCCATTCAGCTCTCTTTGGTTGCCCCTGGGGCCATTATTCGACGCCTGCCCACTGGTAGGCACCGATATGGCGGCCAACTGCACTGGAGCTTGATGCCTAGGCTCCGTGCCCGCAAGGCCGAGTCCACCCGTCGGGTTAGCTCTCCTATTTCTCCCTGGCGGATTCGGGGGAGGGCGCGCTGGGGCCTCCGGTACCGATGGCAGGGCGCTGCTAATCGCTTCGAGCTGTGCCTTCAGTGCCGCCGTCTCCTGCATGCACTCTATGAGCCTTTGCCTTTCGAGGGCCAACGCTTCACAGTTGGTCATATAAAGGCCACTGAGGATGCTTAGACCTTTCTCGATGTGGATAATCTCCTGCTTGCATAGTCTCTTGTCTTCCAGTTTTCCCAGGATGCTAACCACTCTCTCGAAGGAGCCGAGCCCCGTAGGATCCAACACCTTGAGCTCGGCCAGGCACTTGTTGTTGGCCCCCTCCGGCAGAGCCGGGAGCCCTCCTGGTGCGACAGATTGCTGGCGGTGGCGATTGGCCGTAGCGGGCCCGACACCAGATTGCCTAGGCACAGCCTCTGTGCCTCCTTGTGTTGATATCAGATCCCCTCCATCATTCTCCTGCGTTCCAAAGTCCAGCGGCTCCTGCGACTCCTGCGTTCCTTCGACGCTCCCACCGGCAATGCTGCTGTTTCTCGGGGTGGCGAAGCGAGCGGGGGGGTCGTCTCCGGACAGAGCGATGGAGAACGCGCGAGAGCGCTGGGACGAGGGGGTATTGCTACCCCCGGGCATGGTTAAGCTTGATGAAACAACTAACCTTGAGAGTAGTAGTAGTAGTAGTAGTAGTAGTAGTAGTAGTAGTAGTAGTAGTAGTAGTAGTAGTAGTAGTAGTAGTAGTACAGCAGCCTTCCCTTGTCCATTAATCAACATTTTGCTCAGGTACTCTCCTACACTGACAGTAGATGTACCCTACAGAGCGACCAGCGGGGCGTACTACCCTACGCTCACTAGGCTCTGCTATGTACTGGGCATTAGTTTCGTGAAGTCAGATTGTTCAGTATCGTGCACAAAAGTCGAAGACTCTCCACGAAGGCCCTTTTTTGAAATCCGTAACTGGATCCTATCTCTCGGTAGTATCCAATCCTGAACTGCCACAACGCCTTCTTGTACTCAGGTTCGCTTTTTTCAATCAAGTTGAAGGTACCGATAGTCGCTTCTCTCAAGAGCCTACTGTTCACAATATCCACTATTTTCAATATCATTCATTTTACTATCACTATCCCCTCATCCAATGCTACCACGCATTTACGGGATATAACAATAGCCGATTGGATGTCATCCCGAGCCTACTCGATGAGTTCATCTTCTGTGTTTTCCTCCCATGGCTGGCTATGTTCTGCAGCCTCAGCGTGCAGAGTGCTGCCCTTTGCCCTGCAGATGTTGCAGTGGAGTTCCTGAGGGCCCACTGGGGTGATGCCAGGGATTTGTGGAGGAAATGGGCTGACTTGGGCGATGATAACTGCATAGGACGATTTGCTGGCCATGGGATTAGAACCCTTGCGGAAAAGCTGGTAGAGGATTCTAAGATTACGGTCAAGTTAGCGACCGAAGTGGACAACCTGGAAGCTCTTTTGAGTATTTATGATTATGTGGTGGTGGCCACAGAAGCGCCCACTGCCGCTAGGCTACTTGAAAGTGTCGATGCTGAGAGGGCTGCTCTGTTGAAGCGGTTGAAGCACGAGCGTAGTGTGGTCTGGATGCACAGAGACCTCCGCATGCCCCCCGACCTGACCAACACTTCATGGCATTCTGGACTTAATCTCTTCATCGCTTCATCTGCTGCTGCCAATTGGAAATTGCTAGGCACTACTGAGCCGATCAACGCATGTAGTACCCGGGTGAACGTGGAGAATGGGCAGCAGCAGCAGTAGGAGCCACGACTTCCTCAGATGTATCAGTGTATCTACCATCATGCGACGCCGAACTGAAGAGTGAGACAGAAAGCAGAGGGAAGGATGTGGTAATAGTAGTAGTGGTGCTGCCGCGGTGTGAGTAGTAGATGCTGGTGGTGATACCTGGTTTTAAGGTAATCCAGACGTGGGCACCACTTGGGTTGGTGTCACCAGAGCCTAAAGAGCTCCTTCACAAGGCGTCCTACTTCACTCGTCCTGTTCTTACAACAGACTACTTCAACATAATATCTAACTTGGTTAAGTCCCACGGGCGACATAGAGCATATCTAGCAGGCAGCTATAGTTATGCTGGCAATAGGAAGATACCTCTCTTGGAGAATGCTATGCTATCGGTACGATTCTTGCGAGTTCTCTGGAGCCTACGAAACGCTAGGTTTTAAGATCGCTTTTTCCGCTGCCGTTCCCGTCGTGCTGAAATGCATTCGCTCAGAATTAAAAACATAGGATTTTGGAATTTGAGTATGTTATAGATAGTCAACCCATCGTGCATTCTCAACGTAGTGTGCCTAGAGACTGCTGTCTTACAGGGCATATATAAAATTTTAAGCGTAATCGCAGTGTAGTTGGGAATGAAGGAGTAGAAACTATACAGAAAGAAAGAGATTATGAAGGGGAGCAGAATGATAGGTACATTGCCGTATCAGACTGTGATGTAGTAAGAACAGGAGCGTTTGCAAGTTGGCCGTTTGAACGTTTTACCGCACTTCTTCGAGCAACGATCACGTTGTGCTCTGCTATTTAGTTATAGATCAGCGGCGGCCAAGATCTTGGGCGTCACCGAGGACAAGCTTCTAAATAGCACACTTGGCGTGTGATAGCTCATTGATGATGTTCACATGCTGGAAGTACAGCTAGGAGTTTCTTTGAATCCTCACATGGTCAGTGTTTTGGCACCTCTGGTGGTATTGGGTTTTCTCTAAATGCTGCTTAATAGGTGGGAATGCTCATGGCTGCCTATTCTGGGTAGTCAGTGAACACGTACACTCGTGAGAGAGGCAGGCGTTAGGTTTCTATGATGTATACGAGTAGAGAGAGCAACAGTGACCATATTGCAATCAAGTTAAGCACGAAATTTTGAGGGTTTCCTTATCATAGCACAGGGGTAACAAATCTAGAGCCGATAGATAGCGAATGTCTTCTTCTGTGGCAGTGGAATCCAAGGTCGCGGTAAACAGTTTATTAAATACCCTTTATTCTGCCAACTTTGCCAGATGACTGGGCATCTGGTGGGGTACAAGTCTGAGCAGGACTTTAGGAAGAGGCAATCCAAGAAAACTAGCCCTCCTCAAACACTGATGAGGGAGGCTTGACCGGGAAGTGCGGTAGAACTAAATGATTCTCCTTTTCGAGGCCTCGCTGGAGAAGTTGTCGTCATCTTGAGCTTCTGTGTGGGCTCGGAGTTATGTCCCGGTAGATGCACAGGAACGAACCCGGCACACATCTCTGTTCGGGCGCGCGCTACATTTAATGGCGCGTGACGGTGAGCATCATCGGAGTCTCCTTAGGGCACGATAAATGTCAGCGACTCTCGATGGTGACTTCCAGGCGCTACGAAAGAGGTCGGAAAAAGATGGAGTTCGGATGGGCAGGGATCATTTGAAAGCGGCGTCAATGAAGGAAATCCAAGCAAGAGACGACCCAGTTGTATTGCTGTGAGTTTTTGACATTATCGCGGATAGCCGTTGCCGCTGTTAGAGAGGATCTCGGGGAGGTCTATTGGGAGGACGGGCCAGTGATCCTCTGTCACAAGCTGTTTATCGTACGAAGGAAGATATTATATATAGTCGTCGGACGGTGAGGCTTGAGTGACGACTATGGCTCGACACGGACTTTCAGGTGCCGACAGTTACTATGCTGTTAGCTGAGCTTCGGCGTTGTAGAGAAGAGCTACACCGCTTGAGGGGGTGTGATATCGAGACTAGTGCTAAAATGGCTGGTATGAAGACCTTTGCATATTCGAAAAGGTTGGAGGAGAAAGCACAGAGGAGGCGAGCCAGGATCTTGGGGCTCATCCCAGCATGATACGGATGATGTCCGCTCTTGATCTTGGTGGTCGCAGTGTTTTGTGGTGGTGTCATGAGCTTCAGCTGAGCAAAGGACTGAGTATGCAGGGGTAAATACATTTTATTAATATCTAATTATATGTCAATATGTAAGGGAATATCATCAATAGGGTTTATCATAATATTGATAATAATGGAGTTTCACCCGTTTTACGTAAGGTGGCGTAAAACTCGGTGAAAAACGCGATATTCGCGGCCTGTACTAGTCGTGAAATATGTTTTTCACTAGTGTTTTTCATATCACTAGGGTGAATCGGTAACGTCTAGTATAATATCTATATTTTAGTATAATGTTTTTGTTAATATGTCAGACTGAGTATGCAGGGTGAAATCTTCTAGTATCGTGGGTCCTCGGTGGTGACCATCGCTCCGATACCCCTCTCACACGCTTTCGGCTCTCCACATGATACGCGAACTGAATGCGGTTTACGGCAGATATTTCTTCGGTTTTTCCGGCCGGAGTTTCTATTGAACTTGAATGACCTCCTACATGGAAACACGATCGAGAACTGCTGTTCTCTTTTCCTTACTGAACTGCTTTGGAGTGGAAACCGATTCGGCCACGTGAGTGATGGAAACTGTTTTTCGACATCTGAGGCTGTGCAGTGGGAGATGGTCTCAAGGTACTGGCTCCCCTGGTCAGCCTAGCGGCCATAGTACTTTTCCAATTCGTAAGGATGGTGTTGCGCCGTCTTAGGAAGGCTACTGATCAAGGACATGATGGCAAGCCCTTTCTATGACATTGCTTGTCGAGTTTAGTTGTGCAGTGGGCGGGGATCGAACCGGGGACCTCTGTAGATATGGATCAATATGACAACGACTGTTACTCTACTATAACACCACCGGCGATGGTGTTGGACTTGGGAGCTGCCAACTTCCGGGCCGGCGTATGTGGTGATGACAGTCCATCAATAGAGGCATCGAGCGTGTTAGGTAGTAAGGACAGTGCTTGGTCATTATAAAGAGGACCCATGGTTTAGGCGTGAACAAAGAACAATCAGCCTCCGAGGCGGCGCCTCAAGGCAGCCGTCGCTATCGATCTCCAGTCTCACTATATGATAGCACCTCTACTATGCGGAGTTGCAGTGGAGTGAAGCCTTGTGTATTCTATGACCATCGAGTTCGTCAAGTCCGAATGGACGTTGATGGCATCGAGACTATCGCTGACTTCTGTTTCGGCTCAAGAGGTGGCCTCCCTTCTACGTCCACAGCTCCATTGCTCATAGTGTCCCCTAACAACATCTCCCCCATCCAACGGTCGCAGATCCTGGATCTTGCTTTTGAACGCTTGAATTGCCCTGCAGTCTATATGCCTCGACGAGCCTCTATGGCGGCATTCAGCCACGGCCAGAGCTGCAGTCTGGTGCTGGACGTAGGGGCTAGCATGGTCAGCTGTGTGCCAGTTATGGACGGCTTTGTCATGCAAAGGCCTTCAGTAGAGTACCCTGTGGGGGGCGATACCCTGGATGCCTTCCTACTAGAGAGGTTACTAGGCCCTCGATCTCTACGGGACCTTCATAGTGTACCCTCAGCGATGCGGCTCCAACGAGTTCGCGATGTGAAGCACTCCTACTGTGCTCGTCTGGCAACATCACCGATGAAGCCGAAGCAAATTCAAGCCATATTCGGCACTTTGAGTGGTCGGAATTCACCAAGCCCATCGCCACTGAGCTCGCCCCGTAGCACTTGTGCTGGTTTTAATCTCCCAGACGGCACTGATTTGGCGTCGTTGAGGCCCCCACAGGACTTCGCCCGAGCCTTGCCGGAGCTTCTTTTCGACCCCTCCGGGTTCACAAGTGCGGCAAATCGGTTGTCAAGTCACGTGCCTCGAGGCGTCGTGCCGGGCACCTCACTACTACCTCCTGTCAACCTTGCAGGCTTCCGAGGCCTTCCTAAGATGGTCATGGAAGTGGTGCCTCAAATTGACGTGGACGTCAGGCAACGGGTATGTGCGTCAATTACGATTACAGGAGGGCAGAGTTGCATTGAGAATTTACCCCAGCGTTTGCGACAGTGAGTGAAGGAACGTTTACTTTCACGTCGAGGGACGCTGCCCGCCTCAGATGCCTGGGCCCGAACAGTGGTGGTGACACGGGTGTTAGCAGCATACCATCCCTGGCGAGAGTACGTCTACTGGCGGCGGAGACTCAGGCGGAGCGAAGGGCCTCCTCGTGGTTGGGAGCATCGGTAATTTCGTGGCGCGTGACGCGCTCAACAGAGTCTCTGGCTGACAGATACTAGGAAGTTTGTCGTCATTCCAACACTTGATGGTCACCAAGAAGGAGTGGGCCGAGAAGGGCGCCTCGAGACTAGCTCAGCAAGGGAATATCGCTTCGAACGAGCGAATGCCAATATAGTCGTAACATATACGTAAAATTATTTCTACTGCTACCACCGGATCAGCGTTGCTGCCCTCGAGCCATCAATGCGGAACGGGCTGTTTCGAGGAGACGTATGTTGACCTTCCTACTTCCTAATGCCGCCGAATGCTGCTCCATCGTGGTGGATCGATACGTGCTTCCAATTTCTGGATGTCTGTAGTGCAGCTCTGAGGGACCAAGGCCTGTCGGTGAAGTCACAAGGGTCCTTTGCTCAAGGCTTGGCCGTGGAAGGCAGCGATCTTGATGCCGTTATATATAGGAAGGGCTTCGAGGCACCTAAGGGTAAGAGTACTACCATTATAGCTCTGCTATGTGACTGCTGTTGCATATTTGCGCTGAAAGCTCCGCTGCTCCCTCCGGGGGCATTAGATTCTGCGGCCATGATTGTCATTCATCATAGACTATTGTCGGCAGGTAAGGCTGTGGTGAATGCTCTAACGGGCGCTAGTCGGCGGGTTATGAGCTATGTTAATAACGGCAAGGGTGGCCCCTATATGCATCTCAGGACCATTGAAAGGGTCCCTTGGGCTAGGATACCATTGGTGAAACTACAGTTCACCTGGGTAGTAGTAAGATGGATGGCGATCGTCTGATGTGGTGGTCAGGGATGGCCCTCGGGGAGAGGCAAGCCATGGACTGTTGAAGTGGACCTTTCCTATGGGGATGAAACAAGAGGCTCCTACGATACTCGGGTACTCACAGCCGCGTCACTCGCCACGAAATTATATCGTTACTGTGGTCAGATCGGCACCCTGGTTTCTTCCCAACCTCAACTGCGTACCTTCTTGCAGACCATCAAGGGCTGGGCGCTATCTCAGGAGGAAGGCATCCTGAACTCGCAACGTCAAGCCTTGAGCACGTTTGCTCTCATTCTCCTAGGGCTTTGCTATTACAATAGGAATCTCCGTCGCGAGCAGCCAGTTGAGGTCGATGGCTTCTTTCATTTCATTACTCGAGAGATCGGCAATCTTGATGCTAGCGTTTGTCACATTTGGGTGGAAGAAGGTCAATTAAAGCACGTGGTGGACGAGGAGGACGATGAGGACCGTAGTAGACTCACCCGAAGCCCTCTCAAAATCTTGGTGAGCTCAATAGGCCTATTTCGCATTGTGAACGTGACTGGTGAAGGTACCAGGGGAAGGTCCAGAGAGCAACGCGGCGAGGAGTCTATCCCGGAAAATGTGGATGCAGGTCGTCTACCCCGCTTTTGAACGAGCAAGTCTGAATAGTCGGCGGAAAACTGTTGGCCCTTCCCCGGTGAGTCGAGGGTGCTGATGTGGGTATTTCGTCAACACTGGAATGCCCCAAATGAAATGACTTGAGCGGAGCCATTAAATAGGTACGAGGTCCTCGGGGAAGCCTCGTCGGGAAGCAGCCCTTGGTCAATGGGCGTCGTCGTCGTACTACCAGTCATGGTGCTGTTTATATGTAGGGCCTCCACGAAGCTCCGGTGACGAGAGAGGTCGAGTACAGAATGCGGCCGAGTTTGAATTTTCCAAGGCTACTACTACAAAAAGGACCCTATTCGAGACCAAGTTGAGATTGCATAATGATAATGAGTATGTTGACTGCGTTTTCCTTTTATCTTGAACTGTTGGGTTTACAAGTTGGGGGATGGTTCAAACAACGTAACCTTCACCGGGGAATGGTATAGCAATCATAAATGCGTCTTCGATTATTCATCTCCAGCGTTATCAGAATCTATTGAATCAGCCAGCTGAGGCTCTTTGGAAATGCTGAGCTCAACTATCCGTCCATTGTCCTCTCTATCCCGGAACTCCGCCATCATGTCCGCATTCGCGAAGATGTTCGGTGGTAAGACACGGCAGGGGGTGACTGATACTACTAATGAGAGTGCTGGGCTTGTGAAGGACTTCCGGAATACAACCTGCAGGCTGCCCCCGACCATTAAGAAGGATGAAGTAAGTGTTTTGTTGTACACCATTAATGTGATCGACGCTTGCCAGCATTTGTTGCGTGCTGCGAAGCGGTGTGAGACATGCCGCCGATGGTTCACCGAGGAAGTCTGTCGAGTGTGTCACCCCGCATGGTATGATGCCTGTCTGAACGCTCACCATCCGGTACACTACTCACCATCAGTTTGTGAGTATTGGTGATAGCTCAGGTACATGGCGACAAGGAAGCTGATGAAACAAAGGTGAAGGACCATTGAGAAAAGAGACTTGTATTTGACGTGTAATTTTTGATATTGGTGTACTTCTTACAGATTCATCTTCCTCCAGCTTTTGCTGCTGAATCCTCTTTCGCCGCTTTTCCTCGCGTTCACTTGGAACAGTCTTACTACGAACAGGCGCTCCAGGGCAAACAGAAATGGCGGTGAATAACACAAACTCCAACGCAGAACTTATGTCCACTTCCTAGATAGGATATTAATTCTGGGAGTCCCCATTCGACATGTTACATATCGGCAGTATGAGACACATATCACATCAATCTCACGCTGCCGATAATCCAGCGTGTAAGGCACTACATCAAACACTTAGTAAAAGCTTCTGCCTCCCCCGTCGACTCGCATAATGACCGTCACATGACTCGTCAAACTCAACAGAGAAGACAATAAATGAATACCTTCTTTCGTGACGGAATACATGACTTCACGACTACATGTCTGCGTGTGTCACCTCCCACACACGGTGCACCACGCTGAATGCCGCAACATTTTTTCATCTTCAGTGAATCACCGGTAACGCCATTTACATGAAGTCTTTGAACGCCAATACCACTCTTCTACCTCATCTTACTTATGCCTGCGAAAGAAAAGTTGAACCGCTCCAGCCGCAGGACGATACCAACTGAACCCAAAGGCAGCCATAGAAAAAGAAAGTATCATTCGGTCACATCCAGGTGATGGCGGCGCACAACAACAGAGACCGACAGCATAGTGTACACACCAGAAGACCGTTAGGTTCTCTCACAGTGCCCACCGCCACTTATACGTCGAAATGCTACACGGTATAACATAGTTGGAAACCATTATCGTCGGAACCTTCCTCCCGCCTCATTCGTTTTCAATACGATATTGTCACGACTTCTGCCCTCAGACGAGCGCCTCTTGAAGGGAGCACGTCTGACTTGCCGTCCTGAGCCGCTTCGACTGACGGTCCACCCTCCTCTCCTTGGAGTCCTCTGTGGGGGTGTCCGCACTGTGGTCCTAGAATGCTGTCCAGAGTCGCCCCCCTGTTCGGTATCTTCAATCTCCGCAACGGATTCGTCAACCTTGCATACCTATACAGACACCACCGAGACGTCATTAGTCGACCCACGATTGAGAAAACATCTAAAATTAACTAACGTCAACTCCCCGCCGAGTAGTATCGGCAACGGCCGAGGACCCGAGGGGCTGCTGTTGTTTGCCCTTCTCACCTTCAACACTGCTCCATCCACATGTCGTCCATGCAGTTTATTCTCAGCGGTTTCCGCAGCATCACGCCGGATGAACCCGATAAGGGCCGTCGGTATCGAGCCTCTATGAACCTGAGCGGACCCAAGTGCAAGGTGCCGAGGGCCTCACCCACTGCTACCTTCACAGAGACGACCGGGCTGTTGACAGTAGCCTGAAATAGATGATACAGTTGCTGTGGCGTCACAGTGGACGGGCAGTTTCTAACGAACACCCACGACCCAGCGGACATTGGACCAGTGTACCTTTAGGAAGAAGACTCTATCAGAGGGGTGCCTGCTGAGCCTTACATATCATGCCTCCAAACATCCTTACCTCCAATGCTTTCTCGAGGATAGTAGGAATTATTCAAGGCTGAGTCCGGACTAGCTACGCCACCACTGATATTAACAAAAAAGTACCCAAAGGGTTCCATGAGAGATACCCCTCACAGATGAACCATATCGCAAAGCCAACGATTGTTCGGTCCTTACAGGTGACCATTCAGAACGTCCTCCCTGTCACACCCCTACTACTACTACTACTACTACTACTACTACTACTACTACTACTACTACTACTACTACTACTACTACTACTACTACTACTACTACCTTCTAATGTGATTCCCGAACTCGTCATCCTCCATGGCGACATCAGCAGAAACCTTCGCAGTTCGTCTCCGTGTATTCGAGGAGGATGAGAGGGGCCTATTCGAGAGCAATAATACTTCATAGTTTATAGTATTATCCCCTTCACTCATACTATAAATCATATAGTGTGACACGAGCTACAGTGACAGACGCCTACTACTACCCTTCTAAGAGAGCTCTCTCACCGCCATGGCCACGCCCTTTACGTACCACACCAGCAGACCTGCCAAAAACATTACAGCGAGGAGACTCGCAGCATAAGAAAATAATACTATGTACAAACTCCTAGTAGCAGAGCCATGACCCGACACCAGCACTACCGCTTATGATCGTCTCCCTCGGCATCTCCCATGACTATTTCTGCAGCCGTCTCTGCATCGGCAGCGCTCCGCATTCTAAGCAACAACTGAAGTCAGCGCTACCAGCAATGCTTACCTCCCAGCCTGCTGTCGTGTTTCATCATTTGCATTAGCAAGACGACGGACCTAATCATAACTTGGAGGAGGTGCGGTATTGATATAGTTACCCCTCTGAGACTGGAAAGGAAAAGGCGATTCGACATGTTGGGGCTCAAATGGGAATCAACCACTGATCATTAGGCGTTTGCTTTATTCATTTGATCGCCCTGGACACAGTCAGGGTTTTCGTGATAGTTGGCATGCTCACTCGAACGTCTACAACGAGCAAAATTTGCTTAGGGTACTCAAACAAAAACTGGCAAACGCCTTCAGTGTGACACAGGTCATGTGGACTCGATACAAATAAGGACTACGACGGATCACATCGTCAGCAATCGTACCACACAGACCTGTGAATCTCATGCTACACCCCGAGCCGACCCCCTCCCACGTGGCACCTTCATATCACAGACGGAAAACAAAAAGAACTGTGCCGCCCGATGAACCATAAAATTACGGACCGGCAATATAACATCTCCATTGAACCTATATCACCCTAGCCCGGCGTAAAGCAGGCAGTTTGTAGTAGAAGGTGTAGTAGTATTTTCTTCCCTCCTGCAGCGCCGAAAAGAGATGGAGTACAACGAATTCGCACTAGAACCTCGGTCGAAGGAGCCGACTTGGGGTCACTTATCAACACGAACAGGGGGCGACAAGGAGCGATATCACCAACCCATAATGAGCAGCGTGCAAGTAAGATAATGCTGACTGAAGTCTAACTAGCGGAGGTCGCTGTATTGACTCACGGGCAGTTCAATAGACGAGTTCTGAAAGTGGTAACCGGTTACAAAGTCGATATTGAGGGGAAACGCATTGAAATTCGAATCCCATCTCAATGCGCCCAGTTTTGTGAACTAGTGTCGGCTTTGGCTCTTGAACGACCCCTCAGTAGAGTAACACAATAAGACTGCGTGATGGGGTTAAACTAGTATTAACTTCAATCATGCCATTCCTCTGGAACTAGTTCAAATACATTTGCTGGCAGGTACTTGTCGAATTCATCAATAAAAGTTTGTGTCTTCAGGCACTGCATTAACCACTCCTCTGTTACCAAGGCTGGTGTAGGAACAACACCTGAACCACGTGAAGCACTGGTGGCGCCGACAATAAAAGCCGGATGGCGGGATTGAACCGCCGACCTTCAGTTTACAAGACTGACGCTCTACCACTAAGCTAAACCGGCTTGAGAATTCCGACTGCGCCCTTGATTCGTAAAGTCTCCTACCATGTTTGAGGTCAAATAACAATCTTGCGGGTAACTTGTAACCCCTTCCAACAACAACCACCCTCGCGCCTCTCGGGGACTCTTTATCAACGACTCCTCCGCAAAGTCGAACAAGATTGTGATAATGCTCAACGTCCGGAATAGACTGCATCTGTAACAGCAATTCTCAGGGGATCTATGAGAGCAGTCTACTTCTCCTGAAAAGTGTATCCTTATTTTCTCCAGCGGCCCGTTCTTGCCAACTGTCCATCTTGGTCTTCCCGCCCACTCATCAACAAGGTACGAGTCTACTGATAACCACTTTGACGCCGACCGACAGTCGATCAGCCATTCCTCCCCAATGATACTGCATGTAGGAGTACACAGACCATACAGCACCTACGAGGTACTTCATAAAGGTGTCCACAGCGAAAATGGATTCACCTTGAGAGTAACGACAACCTTCTTGCTGGGTACAATGACATGAGTCGGCTTAGGGCAGACCCCCTTCTCCAAACAACGATCAAGATTCTCTATCTTGGCTCCTCCCAGTCTATTGCATAAGCCGTTCGCGGTTCGTTCGAGAGCCGCACCAACTCCCGAAAGCATGAGGACCTTAAAACAATTTCCTTTCCAATTGTTGATCGAAGAGAATTATTCGAGATCGGTGATGCTCACTTTATTGGAGCTCATACTTGAACGCCGACCGCCACTGCTGACTCGAGCCACTGGCGAAGTACTCCTAGAGGCAGGCAGACGGCTCCTGGCCACAGGGGAGCTCTTAGCCTGAATCACAAAGGCTCTTCCGAAAAAATCCTCATTGTAAGGCATTATCTCTTTACAGTCGCTATTCTCCTAGTCGGTGCCGTCGTAATGGACTCCGATGATCTTCTCCTTTTCGACGCCTCAATGTTGTTTGCCAAACTTAGCCGCTTCGAGGCCCTCCTCTGAGCATAACCCTCCACCTCGGCCCCCCCACACGGCCCAGCCCCCAACCCTCGTCCCTCCTGGTCACTCACAACCTCCGAGGAGTACCCATACGGCGGTTGCGTCTCCTCAATGACACAATCCAACACCTCCTCCACCTCATCCACGGACGACTCAGCCACTTCCCCAACCGATACAGGTTCACCACAGTCCATCTCCTGAGTGCTGATCAGCTCCCGTGTGGCTTCTCTCGAGAGGCTGTTGTCGTCGTCGTTGCTGCTACTGCCGATATTTCTTAATTTCTCCAACTCCCACAGCGGCACCGAGCTGTGCATACCGGCGAAAATTCCAAAACTCCGGAACCTCTCAGTGTCCTCTAGATACACCTTGTCAATGAGACTCCGCATCCTGAGTGGATCAGAGATCATCTCCATCATCATCATATCAGACCTACTCCGCTACTCGAAGGCCCTCAACAGCCTTCGCCCAGTTAGCAAGGCGCTCGCCACTGGCCCTAGAGGAGTTCTCCAGCCATACTAGGGCCGAGGCAACTTTGAAGCCTTGACCCTGTCATCAAGAACGTAGCAGAAGCCCTCAATACCACAAACCTCACTCTGAGAAACTCCGCCAGACGAGTTGAATCCCACGCGGAGATGTCATCCCACGTAATGGTAGACGAATTTGCCATCCGTAATTCACTTCAGTTTGCTCGGTATAAAATACGACTACACTCATTATTAACTCATGACCAACTCAATGCCAGCTCTGTGAAACTAGTACTACTACTCCTACGTTCGGAATTCAAGCGCCTATGGCGAAGTCAATCTCATTTGTCACTATATCACAACTTGCCCTCTGACGGATCTCCAACAATACAATATCCATATCCAAGTCTTTGGGCCGTGGACACCGGCCCGCGAGAAACTCCTCTCTGACGAGCCCCTCCCACTGGGCCGGTCCACGTACCAACACCTTCACATCGAGACCATCCAGCAATTTGAGGAATTCTTTCCATGTCGACTCCGTCCGCACAGCACTGCAGAGGTAACACACAGCGTCTTGTCGCATTCGTCTGATAGTCGCCATAAGGGCTCCAACGATAGTCGGGTCGTAGGTGAGGTCAGCCCCAAGAAGGACCTCCGCCGACTCCAACAAATCACTGCGGCTCTGATCGTCCCACCTCAGCTCAGCTACTTCCACGTTATCGAGTTTATTGCTCTTCACATTGGCTCTCAAGGCCTCCACTACCAATGCGTTTCCGTCGGTTAGCACAACCCTCCTAGCGGCACTGAATCCAGCAGCAACGAGACCTACCAAACCACTCCCCGAGCCCAACTCGAGCACGTCCTTGCCCTCAACAGCACACTTGTTGGCGACCAACCAGCTCGCGAGGTACCGACCTGCCTCCCACTGGGAGAGGCCTGTGGTCCCTTGCTCTATAAAACGACCAGAGACGTCGTACCCCAAGGAGATGGACGAATCCCCAACCCGATAAGCGATGAAACCTCTTTCGCTTTCAGGCGTGTTGAGCTCGGAATTATTTTGGGCTATAAATTCATACCATAAATCGTGCACTTCGTCAGTGATGCGGCCAAGCTCCGTTACAAGTCGCTTGACAAAAGCAACTGAGTATTTCAAAGGAGGTGAGCACGTGAGGTCAGCATGAATGGTCTCATCGATGAGAGCCTCTTGAGCCTCCCAAGTAACATAAGGAACGAGTAATGAGGTCCATGGGATGGACCCAACAGGATAGAGGGAGAAATAGTAGCGAGGAAGAGGAAACAGAGAAACACCCTCAGGGGAGGAATCGGCAGCAGAGGCCATTTCAATAGAGGAACTGGGAAAATAAATCCGATTACGGGATAATTCACCCAATTCAACATGCTGTTATCAGAAAGGAGTGAGATGAAGACGTTTATACAGTAAATTGGTACAGTCCCTTACCGTATTCAGAGCTCTTAGAGTGTTGAAGCCCATCGGTGCAAGGCCTTCCTCCACCGACACCATCCAAGAGGACGGCTCATCAAGCTTCCCTTTATACACACGAGTTCGCGAAGGAGTGGTATGATATTGCCAAATTACGCCACCCACCCACCCACTCCCTATCACCTATCTCCAATTTGTTCGTAATGACCAAGGCCCACCTCTCGGCTCGTCTTCCCAAAGCGACGGCTCCTGTATAGTTATTCCCAACCAACACAGAGACCCCATCCATCCTCACAACACAAAAACTTCGCTCCGCTAAGAAAACTCCATAACAAATTATACACTATACTATCATCACTACCGAACTCCTAACGAGGGCATTCTTCGATGCACTAAATGAAATATGCCTTCAACCGTTACTAATTTGATGTCAACTTCCACCAGTATCAATCACTCTATCGTATATCCTTCCTCCAACTCTGCCGAGGTGAGCGCCCTCCGACCATACTCAGAAGCCATCGGAGAGGCCCCTCCCACATCAGAGTCGCTACGACTACTATGCCGTTCAACGCCACTATACCGCATACCACTCTGTCCACTTCTCGTGAACAATGGCAGCAGCACACCGCGATTCAACGCCATGACCAGCCTCTTCATCCCTCCACAGTACCCTGTCGTCATACTGCTGTTTTCCGACGCTATCTCGCAAGCCGCCATCTCGGACCCCAACAGCCAATCTAGAACATAGCTCGCCGAACAGCCCAACACCATCACTGTGAACAATGCTATTACTAACGATACCGAGAGGATCTCATGACCATGCAAAGGGAAATCACGTCTCGCTCGAATTGCCAAGGCCAGTGCCATCGCTCCTCGCAGACCACAGAACGACAAAACAGACGTATACGAGGCCGGCAGTTTACTTCGAGTTCGACAGAGGTTCGCCATCGAAACCGTTGTGTTCACCGATAGTATTCGAGCGCCGAAGGTAGCCAGAGCTGCTATTAAATACGTCGGAATAGATGTGCGTGACAGAGACTTGTCGAAAGAGAAAGGGGCGAGCCCGAGGAAAACAAAGATGACCGCTTCTGCTAGTACTGCGAACAACTCGAAGATTGACTCCGCGAGGTTCCTAGCCTCTGGACTGAGATTCAACCTGGCGAGAAGAAAGAGGTGATCCCGATGGACCTAATTCGTATCTTGCCAAAGTCGACCTAAGATTCCTCCACGGCCTCGCCCCAGTGTTGGAATATATGCTTGCTTTTCTCAGCTAAGCTCAGGAGTTTCCTCATAATTATAGGAGATTATATACAAACTAGAGTAGAAATGCACAGAATTCAAAAACAGTTTCCGAAAATTTCTTCAGAATTCAAATCCATTCACCGACACATGTAGTTGACCATGTGCATATTTTTTCCCACACCGCCCACCCCAAACCTACCACGTATATTTTCTCATGAATATACCGCAGAAGAGGATGGCACATATCCCAGAAAGTTGGAGCCCTTCAGCTAGGAGGTAGCTCATCCACACAAACAGTACAAGTACACTAACTTCCAATACCACACTATAGCCATAACCAGCCGCGTCCACTTCCGGACCTCTTTCGTATCTTCCACGGTCGACCTCTCCAGAAGATACCACTCTAGTAGTCAATTCATAGCCTCCATTTTCTCTCGGGAAATACTTATACACCAACGACGAGGCAAATGCAAATGCCGTCCCCAGCAAGCACGAGCAGAAGAAGACGTATACGAACGTCTGCAAGGCGTGGACCAGAGACCGATCTTCCCAGTGTATCAGCGAGCGATAGAGTACCAGACAAATCGCGTCGTTCAGCAGACTCTCTCCTGCGATCAACCCCGACAGCAGCGGACCAGCCGTCGAAAGGGACTTCAAAATCGATAGGACCGCCACGGGGTCCGTCGCGGAGATCACTGTGGCGAAACCCATGGCCTCGTGTATCGTCCAAGGCGAGCAGAGCTCAAGTTGCCCAGCCAGAAATACCGCCCCTGCGATGAACATAAAACTGCAGAGTGTAGCCCATACGGCCAGCCACACTATGGTGCCGAAATTCTTGAACAGCGTCTTGGTGTCAATACAAAATCCTCCTTGAAAGATAATAGGCGGCAGCAGAACAAAGAAGAAAACCTCTTCGTTGAGCTCGAGTACTTTCTCCAACATAGTCTCCGCTCGAACACTATATAGCAGCAGTCCACACAGCAACCCCAGGGCAGTAGCAAGACCCGACTCGCCGAGCCAACGGACTCTGGCCCATTTCAAAAACTGCCCTCCTAGTAGTGATAGGCCCAAGAGAACAGCGAGGAAGAAGAAACCATTAGCGAGGTACACATCCCTCTTGCCCTCAGGGATCGCCGACGCCGTAGGGACTACCACTGGGACCTCTACAGTAGTCGCATTGCCAGGCACCACCATAGTAGGAGTAGTAGTTGTTACCCTCACTGTTGTCTCAATTGCTGCTGGTACTGTTACATTAACGACCACAGGCACTACTATAGTTCTCCACTTAGGAGTCACTACCGCAGTCGTAGTATTCCCCTCCTCTACCGCAGAGGGAAACCATGTCGTAGCCGATGGGCTCTCCTGAGGCACTCCCGTACCACTCGTCACATTTCCAATGGGCCCCAGCTCCGCAGTAGACCCTAGAGGAGCGCTACTACTGGTCGGACGGGCGCTCGGAGACGTCGACGTCAATGCTACTACTGCTGTTCCCGTCGACGGTGGTGCTGTGGACATCAGAGGAGCTACCGAGGTAGACCACTGTACATAGACCCCGACTCGACACTTCAGTTTACCATGAAACAAATAGAAAATCATTGCCACGAAATCAGTATTAATTCACTTCAATTCTGTTCTTCCTACCAACCACTCCCACCCTGCCATACGCGACCCTCCAGAACGGCACCAACAGCCCCCTCAGTGGCCTCCTCTTCCACTGCTGTTGGGCCGGATGCTCCGCTTCGCTCAAAATACTCTTCAGCCACACCGCTTGCCACTGCTTGGGTTCAAATACCATAAACCCACCATCAGCACTCACCGACGGTACCACCTCGACCTCCTTCAAAATTTCCCTCACTGGTCGCTCACATCGCCACCAAGGCTCCATCAAAAACACCGTGTCACAGCCCTCCACCTCTAGTGCCTCCACCGCTGTAAAACAATCCGTTCCATAATCCCGATCAGATTTGAAACATCTCCGCGAAACACACCCATCCGGCAAAGTGAGATCCCCTGCGCCTGGCTCGACCGGTCTCGACCTCTCGCCCCTATACCTATAAGGGTGTCTCACCCAACTCTTCACCTCCTTCCGGACAGGCCAATACCGCAGGGCTCCTTCCACAGAGCACCCCCGAGGCACCAATA